CACACACACACACACACACACACACACACACACACACACACACACACTTCGATCTAAGCGTTTTGGTGCATACAGCCTTGACTGAGTTGATTGCCGAGCATGGAGGAAACGGTACGCATAAAGAGGTTCAGGCGGGTGTTCTCATTTACTGTAGACAGTGCGCAGTTAAAGGATCATAGTCCTGTTTATCTTACCATTGCACTGAAAATTATGACTGAACTTCCACTTTTTGCTCATTTCAGTACAACATTAAAATCAAGATGCAGAGACTTGGCGCTTGTTTCAAATAGATAATCCATCAATTAAAAAAAAAAAAAAAATAAATTAAAAAAATAAAAAAAATTTAAAAATGTTTTTGTTACATAATTATTGCGTGGTTGGGGTATAATCCTTTAAGAGCATGTTATCTCCTTTTGATATTGCGTTGAAATGTTCGGACTGTTTTTTATTACTCTTGCCACCATTTCATTTGAAAAACCAACAAGGCATGCTTTGAGTGGAATTACGCCTTTCTAGCAGACAACCAGAGAACACTCCACTGCGTTTTTTTCACAGTGACTCTCATTGTTCGCTTTAAATTACTCACCTGTCCCCAGGAGGAGGTGTACCAGTTGAGACAGGGCTGAAGGTTACAGGTCACTTGGGTGTGTGGCCTGGAGGACATGGCCCGGCAGTGGAAAGGTCGTAGGGGCCTTCGATCCCGCAAGTCAAAACACTGGACCTCTCGTGATTTGATACCACCTTCACAATTCTTGGAGCACTGGGAGAAGACATGATTGTTGTTCAAACAGCAGGAGCTGCTGGAGCTTGTAAGTATGAGTAGTGTGTGTAGTAGTAGTAATAGTAGTGGTGTGTCTGAGGAAACTGGTTTTATTTGGGTTACATCACTCATCCAAAAAGCTTTACTTATATGAACTCAGCTGAAGTGATGAATGGATGCCTTCAAGACCAAACAGCAGGTCCAGTTTTTCTGTGTCTTAAATTTGGGCTCATTATTCTCAGTTTTATACAAAAAAAAATAAAAATTTGTATCAGTATTTATTGTGAATATTTACCAAGACAACACAAATGTCCATCTCACAGTGGCGTTAGATATAGTGCGTTCGATAATTTATCCTCTGTGGACTACGAATGTCTGTGCCAAATTTCATGAGCAATTCATTTGATATTTCAGTCGGGACCAAAGTGTTGGATCGACAGACATTGCTATCCCAACAGCCACAGGACGGTGCTACTAAATAAATAAATACATCATTATATGACATACCTTATGCAGTGCATATACACAAATCTAAAAGAATTTCAGGGTAAAAATGCATAAAAACCAGTAAACAATAACCATATTGATGTTAATGCAACCGATCATCTGTGGACCGCTTTAAAATATCTTAGACTGATGTGACAATGTACATATGATAATGTTTCTCCTGCTTAAAACAGTATTTTTATTTCTATTTATTTTGTATTATTTATTTTCCTACTGTTCTGTCTTGTCTTTGATACCGTTAGTAGTTACTGTAAATTATGGCTTGTATTATAACCATGTTTAAAGAGAATAAAGATACTGTTAAAATTGTTTTCATACATAAAAGGGGTCTCACCTCACTCCATTCCTCTACTTTCCATGTGGAACAGGGGCGCAGGTAACATCGCTGGGCTGGCGCAGGCCTCTTAGCAGGATCGCAGTCAGAGTCAGAGCCAGTACTGCAAACCAAAGTCCTCCAGATGGCACCCAGACCACAGCTGGTGGAGCACTATCCAAAAATGTAGAAACACATGAGTACACTACAGGGTTGGATGCACGAACAGCTCCAGCATGCACATGTGACCTCACTGATAACAATGCAAGTCATGGGAAATTCAGAGATGTTTGTCACTTTCAGTTATTTTCCTTTATGCAAATTCTTTGAATTGTATGTACAGCACAACAGGGGTTTGTGCAGAAGCAACCGTTTGTCAAATGTTCCATAAAAATTCATTACATAAATTTACATTCGCTGCATAAGCTTTAGGTCAAACGGTGTCTCCAAAGAATACAAATGTGTCCAGGGACCAAAACTAGACGCTGTGTCTGCATAATAAAATCAGACGGAGACAAAAAAAATAACGAGACACAGCTGTGCTACGTCCCACAGTATAAGTGGAACACCAGAATGTGTGGATTAATGCAGACTCACAGCGCTCCAGTTGCCGGTGACCCAGTAGGCAGCGGTAGTGATTTGTGTGGAGGCTGAAGTCGGGGCAGACGTCGGGACTGGAAGCGGCCACAGAATAGGTGGATGGGTTGGCAAAATGGGCCCAATAGTTGTTGGTGCTTCCATGTGTCGTACTGGTGTAGTGCCATGCTGAGGAGTGGTTGCCGCGTTTGCCGGAAGCTGGTACGAGGGGCCCGGATCAGTGCTACTGCCGCTCCTCACTAACGAGGGAACGACTATTTCATTGTAGTCAAAATCAGCTGAATCCGACAATGGCGCTCGGGATGCGGAATTCGTTCCAGTTCTTTCAGTGAAGGTGGGTTGTGTCGGTATCCGTTTCACTGTAGCTGGCAGGTCATCAGCTGGAGCGGGCCGAGTGGCTCCCTCCAGGTTTGTGGGAGGTATGATTTCTGTTCCAGCTGAAGGCGTAGAGTCAGAGGCCTCTCGGTTTCCTGAGATTTGCAGAAAGGGAACAGGGAGAGGAGTGAATTTCTCAGAGGCAGGAAGTGAGGTTGTACCAAGGTCAAGGTCTGTATCCCATGAATTACCCTCGCTAGTGGCATAAACTGTATCAAAGTCAGTCTGATCCAAGTCCAGATCCTCCAAGGTGAAGACAGTTCTTGATTGACTGGTTGTTTGAGGTATTTCTGAAGCACTTTCATCCAGCTGGACTTCAGTCTGAACCTGAATTATAGTTGCTGGCGTGGGAGAGCCAACAGGTTCTGGACTCTCTACATCTTCCTGGTCTGCAGAGATATCCGGACCTAGTGTAAAATGTTCATTGTAGCTGTAATCATCATGTTCCTCTGTCTCCTGAGCACTCACGGTTGTAGCGACAGTGGCATTGATATTGGTTTGGTGTGCGAGGGCGGAAGCGGCATGTTTTGGAATCACAGTGACATCCTCAGTGAAAATATCATAGTTATTTTCAGCCTCCTCTCCATATTGCTCCACTTTCAGATCATGTCTGGGCTCCTCTGTAGTGGAAACCAGACTAGGCATTGTGGTAATGTCTTCAGGCCACGACACATCCTCCTCACGTGTCTCTTTAAGTGTAGACGACAGCGGTGAGCGAGTGGCAGAGACGGGCAGAAGAGAATCCTCAGACAGAAGGTCATTCAAATTTTCGAAATGCGTTTGCATCGACTCCTTTGTTGCTGCATTTCCATTGTCCTTTGTATTATCCAGATCTGTGTTCTGTGGCTCTTCAGTTTTCAAGGTGGAATTTGTTAATGTAAAAATGTCTGAAGGAGCTTCTGTAGTTTCACTTTCTTTCACTCTGCGGGTTGGCTTGGTCTCCGGTGGAGCCTCGAATCCGTGACCATCCCCTAAATCTGTTCCATCGCTGTCAAAGTCATCCGACAAGTCTTCATGGAAGTTGATAAAATTATAGTCATAGTAAAAATCATCAACTTGAACACTGTTTTCCGGAGAGTGATCGATATTTTCAAGATTATTGTGATAGTGAAAATTCCCCTCGACAATGTTGTCGAGGTGATTATTGTTACTTCTTGGCTGGGCTCTGGTGGTGCTGTATTTGGGAGGAGGTTTGACTTCAGGTATGGAGTTAATTTCATTGAGCACTTCTTTGCTCAACCAGCCACTTCCAGACCAGTCGACGCCTCCAAAATTATCCACCACTTGTGGACAGTCCTGGACGTAGCAGGTAGTCACAGCAAGGGGCTTCTTCTGAGGGTCGCAGTCAACACCGGTGTTTCTAGAGCAGGTGACATTACGGCGACGTACTCCGCTTCCACAAGTCAGTGAACACTGCACGGGAGAAAACACACAACATCAGATGATAGTTAGGCCAAGCTTTTACTTTTAAAATGAGGGTATAACTAAAATATAAAGGACATCTTGTAAATGCAAGAAAAAAGTAGCTAAATTGGATTCTTGTAGCCTCAGCTCCTTGCGCATAACAGCTGAGACGGAGCCAGGACTGAAACAATTTCTCATTTGCTCATTAGCACCAAACACAACATACTGTGAATGCACATGCTTCAGTTTGAGGAAACATTGATAAAGTAATTTCACTTATTTCTAAAACATTTCTTAAAAGTGTGCAGGAAAAAAAAAAAAAAGACTTTGATATGACAAAAAAATAAAATACAACAGAAATTACCTTTGTGTAGTTACTCACTATCTGACTCACTTTCGTATTTTGAAAAAGCTTGAGATGGAAAAATGTCTTGTGGCACACGCTGCCAGAATGAAGAAACGCACACTAACAAAAGAACTAGACAATCACAGCATGAACCACTTTCTCCAAGATCACTAAATAATCTAACATCTTTCACAGTAAGACTTTATCAGAAAATATGAAAGCATCTGTAAGAATTTATGTTGAACAATTTGCATGACATTTTGAAGCAGCACAGTTGCAGAGACACCAGAACCCCATCCTCCATTTGAGACTCACCTTTGACCAGCTGCCCGTGGTCCAGTCTGCTGGGCAGGGGAGGTGCGTGTTGCAGGAGGATAGGGACTCAGGTTTGAGTATGTGTTCACATGCACTGGGCTGCAGGGCTTCCTGCTCCTCAGCACTTACTGCCTGGATGCAGAGCACTGTCCTTTTAGTCAGGCCCAAGCTCCCACAGCTCGCTGAGCATTTCTGCCACTCTCCAACCCACCATCTACACGCACACAGACACAAAAGGTGCAAATATTTACAATTTAATGGCACACTTGTGAATAAAAATGACAATATTTTACAGCTGTGCTGCCAGCTCAGAGAGTTAAATTTTATCGCCCTCAAGCACACAATTTCCATGTCGTTTTTTTTGTGTGTCAAAAAAACAATACTGAAGTCCAAATAAAAAGGGGAATCCACATCTCCTTGTATGTGCTCGGGAAGCTAGGTGTGTGTTTTGTTTTAAGAGCAGGAGGAGCAGATTATGTCTCACGTCTTGCTTCATTTTAATGGTGAGATTTCTGCTAGTCAAAACTTTCAGTCCCCGTCTCACAATTTTAGCTACTTCAACTACATTATTAAAAGCAAAAAGCTAAAATGATTACATTGCTTGCTTTGTAAGATGGCAATACTGTAGAAACAGGGTTTAATCAGTGACAGTTTATCCATCACTGATTAATGTCTATGCCCTTCATCATGCAAAGAACGTTTAACACAAATGTTGTCCTTCATTGTAATTGTAACGTCCACGTCCACAGAATCAGCGTTCAATGGCTCCTAACATCATCTGTAGCAAAGGAACTGGGTGCTGCGGTTTGGTGCAATAAGATGTGTGGGAGGAAAACTGCAAGTGGTGATTCTTATCAAAACAGCTTTCACATGGACACGATTATTGGAGATACAGTTTATTTTACATTATTCTGTTCCCATCACCAAATCATAATATCCGCTGTACAAAAATACTAAACGTGGGACTCAAGCAGCAACTTTGGGTTTGGTAGCTTGAATTATTTTCTCCCATGCACACCACAAAGCTCCTGCAAAGGTTGAAAGACAAGTGTCTTATCCCTGAGTGTGTGTGTGTGTGTGTGTGTGTGTGAATACTGCTGGTGTCATTTTGTATACAATGTCCAGAGGGTAAACTCACATGGCTGGACATGGATCCTTGTTACAGCTGGTTTGGTTATCGTCAGGCCGGGTTAAAGGGTCACAGAAGTGCTCCTCCACTATCCCAGTTGTCCTTTCCACACAGTGAACAATCTGCCTCTGAACACCTGGAATACCAGTGGGAGGGGAGATAAACTTTTGTGACTAGGCATACACGCACAACGACATTTTGGCTATTCAACATCACAAATCAATCTCCTCTCCAGACAGCTTTGCATAAAGCAGTACATTAAAGGACTGGTCTTCTAAAGCCGCAATACCTTTTTCCATCATCACTATTTCCACCCCGTCAGAGCAGGTGACACCTCACCTCCGTGAGGCCTCTGCTTGATTCAATTTAAATCTTCAAAGACACCTCTTGAAGAACAAGACAGCTACGTCAGATTGAAGCCCAGATGGAGGCGGAAAGAAACAGGCACTGATTCACAGTAGCTGCAACGAGGTACATGTGTCCACATCATCACACACAAACTAATGATTCGCAGAGTGTTTACGACCAACGCTACGTGATTTATTAAAAGGGGTGGGGCTAAAGTGAATGTATCACAGTCCTAATACAAATGTTAAAAACACATACACAAGGATTAATAGCAGTGGCAAGTCCATAGCTGGCAGACACACACATTATGTATAGACAAAATTTAAAAGCTCAAATTCTGCTTTACTGGTTTATATACAAGGTAAACTGGCCATATCTCATACTGTGGATGTTCACAAGTCGAATGGCTTCTGTAATAAAACCAATTTGTTTTACATACAAGAGATCTGAAACACATTCCTGATGGCAGAAGCTTAAAGCAGTCATAGAGGACATGCGAGTTTCTTTTTCCTTTACGTAGACACTTAGTCGTCAGATGTTCTGTCATCTCATTTTGGTGAAACTTCTTTCCTGTTGAACCTTTCCTCCCACCGCACGGCATATTCAGAACTAGGAGTGAAACATTTACCAGCCCCTCTACCTACAAACCTAGCCATAGCAAAACCTCAAGTTGGTTCTCTTACCTGTTCCACAGGTCGCACTGCATTCGGTCCATGAACCGTATTTCCAGAAGAAAACGGGCGCAGAGGTGTTGTCCACATTTCGACTAATTGTGTACTCGTACCGAACTCCTGGATTGCTCTCCTGAAAGAGAAGCTGTAACATACAAGACAATATCAAAACAGATTAAAAGCCAACTAGAATTACCACCAAAATGGTGTCTAAAATGTCATCATTTGATCCTATTAAACATTTGTGTGAAATTGTCATAATTAGCATATGAATTCTTTAGTTAAGGCCAACAACAGGTTTGTGAGGTCAAAGTGACCTTTGACCACCCAATTTTAAATCAGTTCAACCTTGAGACCAAGTGAACGTTTGTGCCAAAATTGAAGAAATTCCCAGAAGGTGTTTCTGAGATATCATGTTCTCAAGAATGATACGGACGTACGAACAACAGCGACCACGGCTGTCGTCGGCGTGGAGACTTAAAAAAATTATTTTCAACCACATACAGAAAACATTCAGCCCTTATCGACAAAATATTCCCAGGATCTAAGGGACTACTTCACAAACTAAAAATGTTGCATATTTCCTGTTTGTGTTTCCACCACATCTGGCATACTAGGTTTGGCTTTCTGGTCTTCCAAACGCAAAACATTACATTTAGACGTTAATCCGACCTGAATCCACAGGGGCTCCATGGTGGGCCCAGGAGACGTCAGGTTCTCCAGGTGTCCCGTCCTCTTGTAGGTGAATACTGTCCCGGCTGCCTTGTACTCTCCATTCCACTGAATCGTCCAGCCACCATTCAGAAAATACTTGTTGGGGTTGTCACTTCGTAGCGCCAAGAAATTCTCAGCTTCAGCCACTTCTTCGATGCGGATGTCCCAGGCTGCCTCTGGAATCAGTCCAATGTCTACGTAGCCTAAAGGGCATTACATTTTCAAGAAGTGAAATTGAAGGACAAAGTTACCTGATACACAGTTAACAAATAGTGGAGAAGACGGAGGAGAAAAATGCCACCTTGGAGAGTTTTAGGCTTTTACCAAAAGGAGTTTTGTTTTAAATTGTCATTCATGTCAAAATATCTTCCACAAAGTGGTCTATTGCTAAAACACAGTTATTAGGAACCTTACCAAGTCCTTCAGTCTCCTCAAATGTTCTCCTCACAGTTGTACAGGTGGAGCCGTTACCGAGACACACTCCACAGCGATCCTCGACAGCACGGGAGTCGATCACATAGTCACAGCCTAAATTCTATAACACATATGCATCAAAATGAACTCCACAATGCATTGTCTAGAACAAACTTTAAAGTGAATACACAACAAAGGTCAAATTAGATAACAGGCATAATGCTGCAATTAGGGGACTGCATATTAAAGACTTAATGAGCCCCAAAGGATCTGTTCATTAGTGCACAGAACACAACCATGTCTCACCTCATCTCATCTGCCCCTGACTTGTTCAGATAAGACAGGAGATGTAAGTGAAGATCCAAGTAATCCCTAGTATTGTTTCTTGCTGCTTTATAATTGTTGTCACAACCTGTACTGAGTTAAAGGAACACTATGGAATTGAAATAAAGAAAAGAAATACTGATTTGACATTCAATGTTACAGCGACCCTTCAAAACTCCAAATGGTTTCCAGGTAAAAAGGTGGAAGACATGTTGCTTCCTGACATAAATGTCACAAAATGTCATGAAATCAGAGCCACAAAGTCTATAATTGCTGTCCACTCAGTATCAAAACAACATCTCTATCAGTGACTGGCATTTTGGCCCCCGGGTGATAGGCAAGAGCAGTGTGATAACAGCCACGACGTCTTTCTATCAACAAGCTCATTTTCATGCAGAATGTCAAATGTACAACACTGTGTTGCAGAGAAAACCAACTAAATACACGAAAATGAATGAGAAATACAAGGATGGAATAATCAAGTGAATGTTGTCAAATGCTGAAGAGGAGACGACGAAATATATTGGTGAAAGAATATGTGGAATAGTAGGAACGGTGTTGATACCTTACAGATGCCGTTCACGCACACATCTCTGCTTTTGTTGCCTTGGTAGCACGGCGTCCCATCGGCGACGACCTCCTGCATCTTGTCAGAAAAATGTTCATCCAGTGGACGGCAGTGCAGCTCACAAGGGCTGACTGAAAAGAGTTTTCGGAGAGACACAAAGACACCAAAAGGTGCTGTTTTAACACTGCCTGAATACCGTCACAGCCTAAATGAAGTTTGTTCTGCTCACCTCGGTTAATGACTGCTTCCCACTTGTAGAACCGGCCCTTGTACGGCACGGTGTTGAAGTGAGCACACTGGATGTCTCTGAAGGTGGGCAGTTCATGAGGACACGGTGTGGCGTTGCAGATCTTGTACCTCTGTCTCTCTCCCAAACAATACCTCCCTCTGTACTTTGGACTGTTGGATCGTCAAAGACAGTATTTCAGTTCTGCTCATTGACTCTTACTTTCAAACATTTGTGATATGGTGAGAAATGGTGGAGTGAAGAGGAGACGTTTTAGATCTGTAATAAGTAATAAAAGGTTCTGTGATATCTCTCTGTGATTTCTTTGCTTATAACATCATCCCTATCGTTTATAGATTACACAATAACTTCTACCGTCTCTCACTGGCAATCTAAAGATCGATGAAATGTGTGAATTAAGTTACTGCCCGATGCTCCTTTCATTATCCAAATGTCAATCATAAGGTTAATCTCTCCATGTTCTTATAAAGAGACTACATTACACAGCCTGAAAGTCTAAGTTAAACAGCCTTTTACCAATGGCTCTGTGTTTAAACTCGGATATCGGATATTAAAGGATTAGCTCATAAATAAGCCTCATCATTCACAGAAAAAAAAAAAAAAAAAAGCAATACTAACAATAGTTAAAAACAAGAACACTTCCTGAAGTATTTTTGGCTGAAGAGTAAAACTTACACTGGGTTATCACATTCTCTATAGCCGCTCTGGACTCCGGCCCCACACGTCCTCGAACAGGCCGACCACTCGCTCCACGATGCCCAGCCACCACTTACACTCTCTGGCTGATATCCCACCACCACACACTCTCCACTGAAACACCACTAGTAAAAAAAACAAAAAAAAACAGCAAAGCTTAAATTATCAAATACATTTACTCAAACTGTGAGCTTCATCTTCTTGTTCTTTCAAGGTTTGCATTCACCATGTTGTCTGTATTTCAGACAGAACAGTTTGTACTCTATTCTGATACATTACGCATGTCTAAATATCACCACATGTAGATTTTCTCTGCACTTTTTATGAGAGCCGAGAATATGTTATTTGCGCTTTATTACTTTGCGTGTCACGGTAGTTTGCGTAGCTACATTAGTCACTAACTTCATTCTGCCAACCTGCTGCCACAAGGCATCTGGTTCATGTTCTTTACGGTCATGTGCACAATAACAGTGAAGATGAAATTAAATTCTTATTTCTCTCAGTTAAAAAACAAACACTGCAAATAGGAAGGACTCCCATGATAAAGCCCCTTCCCATTAGAGACTGAACACTCCTGTCAACAACAAATTCACAATGCATGTCTCATTCGTTTTATATGCTCATGAAATGAAAGACTCACCTTGTCCTCTCCACAACTGGTCCCATCCACAGCCCCGTCCAGCTTTGAGTGGCAGGTCGTTCCCACAGTGCACCACAGAGTGCTGCATACGTTCTAGGAAAGCAGAGAGGGATTTATGTCTTAGTACCACAGCATGTTTGCTTGTGTACTTATGATAAATTAATAGTAAACAAAAGTGTTTAAAATGCAGATTTTGTATGAACGCGATCAATCTGGATTTGCAGACGTGTTGAAGATGTTCTTCCTCTTTTGATTGGGTTTTGTATATATTTGCACTTATTTTCTTCTGCCACTGTGAAAAGCACATTGAGAATATAAAAATAAGTTTTACGGACAACAGTCCTTTATCCGCAACAATAATGAATCAAAAGATCAATAAGAAGCAGTTATTTCCCACAGCGGTAAAAATCTGCGTGTGAAGACTGATAACACCGAAAGGTGAAATCTACTGTTTGTTTAGACGTTCCTTGGCTGATTGCTCCAATTATCTGAGCCCATTCTTGTTGCTGTTGCTTGACATTTGTGTTGAATGTGTTTGCATTTGGCCCAAAGCGTCATACTGAAGATTAGGATGTTTTTGTGAGATTTGAACCTTCAGAATGCAAGTAGTTACAGTTATCTGTGAGCAATATTTATCTTATTTTCCACTTAATAATCTCCAACCATCTTCTGACTGATAACAAAGATAAAGGCTGGGAAAGACACTGTCGATTCTCAAAGTGGAGATTACACATCCAAAAGAAATGGATTGATCATCTGAATCCATAGGAATCTTTCAATCAAAACATAACACTGTTTTGCGCGTACAGTGCATCCAGGAAGCTGTACTACAAAGCTACTGTCAATGTAACATTGTGTTAAAAATAAAACATGAAGTGAAACAGAAGTTAGAGTTTTAAGCTTGTGTACTGTGACGTATGCGAAACATGATATTTTGTAATTGTTTTTGAAGTTATATGACTGGGGATGTGATCTAAACAGGTTAAACTACATTGTTTATTTCATCTCTTTAATTTAAACAACCTACTATATATCGTGATGTCTGTTACAGTATGTCTGCGTACAGCCTAAAACTATTCTTACCATTGAAATCTTCCAAGTTTCTATATTTGTCAACATGAAAATCTATAATTCTATCGAAAGTATCTCTTTGTTTATGCTGAATACAGTGTTCATGGAGGTTTTGTTCACTCCTGGCACCATTTTGTAATTCATGCTGCACTACCATGCGGTTGATGAGGTATCACATTCCCGCCAACTGCATGAAACATGAAGGTAAAAGAAGAGGTTGTGTCAATCAGATTATTGTATTATGTCCTCCGGTTTCATGAAGGAAGAAGACGGCTGGCTAATGCGGATGTTCCCAATCTCTTATATCGCACCTTCAAGCGTACACATCATGCATTTTGGACAGACACACTGAATGTCAACACGACTACGTTTGTATAGAAGAAAACTCCACAGGGTACATTAAAACGTAAAGGTTGGTAAGCATGCTATAAAAAGAAACAGGCGCCGCTCAAATTTTAACTCAAGAAAATTGACTGGGAATTTGTTACTGGATTGGATTTTTCTTGAATGGTGTTGTAATTCCGTAAGCATTTGTGTGAGGCGCTTGTAAAAAAATGCACATGTTGTAACAAATTGTACATGTAGAGACACTACGTTGTTACGTTGAGGAAATTGGTGTAAAAATGCACGTGTGTGTGGTCTCCGCCTGTCCATCCTTTTGCCATTACTGCTGCTGTGGCCGGATGAGCTGCGTATAAATCATTCAGATCTGCTTCCGACCATAATACACAGGAGTCTTACAAAGCTTTAAGACGGACAGCAGTAATGGCAGACGGGATTTATATCGAATCTGCAATACATCTACTCAAACACACATAACGCAGGAAATACTCTTAATCAGTCCGTTTATGCAAATCCTGTGTTAAAAATCGTTACTATGCTTCAATCACGTCAAGTCTTAATTTCTTCAGCAGCGAGTTTGAATAATGAGACTGCTTCATGCCTCGTTCCCCATCGGCTTGTTAACCTTCCCAAAATCTCAACCGGTCACTCTAATTACCTCATGCCACATGTGACTCATGTTACCACGACCAGCTACACGGTAAGATGAGTTTAAAATCCAGCTCACGTCATGAATCTAGGACTGATGAATGCAGAGAGGGGAGTTTCCCGTGCTAAAAAGGGATGGCAGTTCTGTACGGCCATGTTGAGCTGCTTACAGATACAGAACATAAAATGAAACCAGCGGGGCCCTTCATGCTCCAGTGTGCTCCATCAGACCTGCTTGTCAGACGGTTGAATAGCTTCTGAAACCTCCTCCCTCAACAGCTTTCTCATGTTGGATTAAAGAAGGCGATGTGTCTGACCATATTTCACAACCAAGTTTTCATTAAGGTCTCTTTTTCCTCTTTCTTGACACAACAATTGATGGCAGACTGAGGGATATAAAGAAAAGCAAAAATGATGCTGGCTATCAACTGCGGTATCCCTCAGTGCTGCCTACATTTTAGCATTTACAAATATCCTGCAGTTGAGACTTTTGACCACCATGTCTGGTGTTAAGCCGGAGTTACTCACTTCAAAATTCCTGAGTTTGAAACTTAAGCCTTAAACTTTTGTAGAAATGCATATACAGCTTCCCTTGGGGTCTTTTAATCCAGTGCTTCCTTCAGACTTAATGCAGCCTGAGACACAGTGTTACAACTCTAACTAAAGGTCAGTGCTATTACAGCTCCTTGTCTAGTCTGGGTTATTTAAAATAGGATAGGTTACGTCTCAGTGGTGAGACACTGAGATGAGATCATTACTGATAGATCGACATTTGAAAGATTACACTCAGCTGTTGACGTGTCATCTAAATGAACACTCTTAAATTGTTAATGGCACAATAGCACAGAGTGACTTAATGTCAACTCTACAATTTGTAAAACGATTGCAAGATGAGGATCGAACCAACATATGAGTAACAAGCTGTTGGTTCGATCTATTGACACGGATTAAGAAGGATCTGTAGGTCCCAGTCTGGATTCAAAACTTTCAGTACAATTACTATAGTAGAGGCTCAAACCTTGGAGACATAATTAACTGTCGAGCTTGCCAGCAGGTGTGTACAAGTGTTGATAATGACCACATGACACAGCAAAGTGCAGAGGGTTGTGGAAGCTGCACAGCAGGCTTACCGGCACCGTTCCTGTTGTCCATCAAGAATTTAAAAAAAAAAAAAACCCTCAATACCAGAACATTTTAAAAGGGCACACATCATGCTCATTTTCACTCATGTAGGTTTGGAGTTTTTCATACAGTGTGCCCTTTACATAATCCATATAGCACATGTTGTGCACACAGAAGATTGAAGAAGCCGTGTGTAAACACTCATTACGACAGTGAAGTGACCTATACTGCAGACATGTGTCCTGATTTCCTATATAATAATAAAATAGTACAAAGATATTGAAAATGTTGATAACTCAGTAACTGATTGCTTCTTCAGGCTATAATTTAAACTTATTTTGTGCCTAAATAAAAATAATATGACTGAAATGATTTCATTATTGTTTATTTTCCAGTGAAATACGACCAAACGACAACTAACCAATATGTTGGTTCACTTTTATTGTTACAGGTTGTTTTCACTTGAGTCTCTTTGACATTGTCAGACCATAATCTATAAAAGAGAATATTTGAGCAACTGATAAAAATGTTGATACCCACCTCCAAAGTTACATATATAGTATGCTACTCTACTTTATTGGTGAAGGTTATTAGTTATTGGTATGCACCCCGAAAAGAGGACCTGCAGACACCACTCAGGTCTTTTAGTACCAATGTTATTTCTTTTAGGGTTATATTTTTATTACAGTTATTTCTCCTAAAAACATGTTAGAATTGAACATCAGTTAAAAACAGTAAAGCATGTACTCTTAGCTCTTTGGAGTAATGATTCAAATACAATATCCAATAAATCAGAAACTAAAAAAAAAAAGTTAAAGTAGGTGCATGTATTAATAATAAGTACACATGGTGTACTTATTGTAGTTGTGAACAATGTGATACAATAATTAAATGGTAAAGTTGGAACAGCACACACTGTACTGAAAACACAATAGGATCAGGGACTAATGGAGGAGGCAGAGAGCACAAAGAAAAACATATTTCTAAGAGCGCTTGAAGAGTAGAAGAGCGGGTCAAATCAGAAGCAAACAGACGTCGTTGCAAGAATAGACATGGGAGAGACATGAAAACAACAACGAGACAGGCCAAGACTGAGCAAAGTAGAGAGAATAGTAGAGAAAGGAAAGAATGAGAATACAAGAGACCCCCATTATTTCCATACAACTGCACATGACTTTGTATGGATTTATTTTGATGTGTTTATGCCTTACGTCCATGTCATCGCAGAGCAGGGACCCAGATCCATACTGCAGCCGACACTGGTGGGCAGAGCTGTACAGAACCCCAGGAAGCACCGAGTTCAGAGACCGCTTATCCTTTACCGGGGCATCATCAAGGCACCAGCCCCAGCCGCGACTGTGAGGGATGGCAGGAGGGAGGTGGATGATTACAAAAAGAAACAGAGTCTGGTAAGCACAGTTCAAAAATGTATTCGACACACACACACACACACACACACACACACACACACACACACACACACGAAGATATTCCTTCAGAGTCGATAATTGGGTCAGATTGTGTGAGGCTTGTGGCACAGTCTGCCTTAATCACACGTGCAGTATTCAAGCAGACGCAACAGGCTGGAGTTGCAGTTTGTGAGAAGGTTTGCAAGGTTCGCCGCTCTCCTCACTGCATATGCATTTCATGGAAATGAGATGACATGATCACAGGACATCAATGGTGTTTGTTAACTTCAGCAGAAGCAATCAAGTTCAATCAAAAGTACATTCAAAGTATTGGTCCAATTAAAACAAATTAAAAACTGTTGAAGTAATGTGTATTACATGTAAAAAGAAAGAAGAATTTGCTTCTCCAGTTGTTTTATTGTACATATTGTGATGTTGCAAGTTTTGTTTGAGATGTATATATTTTTTATTTTGTCTCGTCTCCTTTTGCTGCCTTTTTTGGCCAGGTCGTCATAAATGAGAACAAATTCTCAGTTGACTCTAAAGGGAAATAATAATAATAATAATAGTCTGCTATTAGTGTAGCAGCACAGTTGAGCTGAAAAAGCAGTGTCATTACCACTTTTAAACGACTTCCAGAGGAGGAAGTACAGCAAAGGGCATCGCTTAATACTTTATTAGGCGTCTCATTATAGCTTCCAATTACCATAGCCAATTACACTTAATTCTGTCAGTCACAATAATGAGTATTTTGTTCAAATATATTATTTAAATTTAAACTAGGGTTGGTAATCTTTTTCAAAAACATTTTAGTTATGTTTGTTGAAATTGTCTTTATACCACAACAGCAATCAATAAATCAAATACTTTGACGAAAGGCAAGGAAACAAAATGAACATGAATCTGGGTCAAATCTGGTACCTGCGGCTGTAGCAGGACTGTACATGCACGCATTCTGCCCGGCAGTCATTGCGTGGCACCGGAGTCTTCCTCAAGGCAATTCCTCTCTCCCTTTAAATATGTCCTCCTGTTGCCCGAATGTATTCTGTTCATTCATTTATTTATCGTTTGTCTGTACATGTTTTGAACGAATTACTTGAATAAATTACTCTTAATGGCTTTTTGCCCACGGTGATTTTGTTGCAGTGGCGTGGAGAGTGTGAAACTAACACCGAGCTGAAATTCAATGAGTGCACATAAATTATGTAAATAAACAATCTTTGAGATCAGATCCGGACATCCAAAGTTAATATCAACATATGATTGAAGCAGCTTTAAAGAGCAGGTACTCTATAAATAGTACATGTTCTAAAATGTTGAACAAAGTCTTGCTACAAGAAAATGTCCTCAAATTTAGACCAAATGTAACAATTTCTATATCGAAAATATTTTACTCTCATGAGTTAACCTAAATAATAATTTAAAAAAAAACAATAGACAAATAGGATTCAAAGAAACCTAAGGCTGATTGTTTGGCACTTAACCACAAATCTGAGATGACGTCATGCCAACTGTTGAACAGCGGCAATTAAAATGTTCTCCATCAGTGCCTCCGGACTGAAACGCAGCTCAGAGAGAAAATTAAGTTCTACTGCGACCTTTGTCAAAGCCGGCTTTCCTGGAATGTTTGTCAATTAATGAACTCCCGAATTTATATATATCAAGAATAAATGATGTTGTGACATATGAGATCTGATGAAATATGCTATGTAATGTGTGAGATATCTCTTTGGGTCTGTGGTTCCTCTAGAGAGCAATTAAATTAACTTTCTTTGCAACTTAGCCTCTGTGGCCTTTCAGGAATTCTCCCCTGGACATTTAAGGGGGTCTCTGTTTATTAGTAGCCAATCTTTGTGATAACATCTAAACCACTCAGCACAGTGTGACCCTTCACATTCCACATAAAACAACACCTACGGACCAAACCTCTGAAGCAGCACAGAGCAGCAGAGGCCTGCGGGACAACTAAAGCCATTCACAATAGGAGCCTTGTCCTGCAGTCAGTGGAAGAGATAAAAACAGAGAAAATGGGGGCGCTGGCATTTAGAGCAATGAGACGGGAAGACAAATATCAGTGAAATGATCAATGCAGATTTAGTGGTTTTGGAGTGGCTAGCTGACGTGGAGGTCAAAAGATGTGGACGCGACAGCTGAGAGGGGGAGGGCGGGAAGTGGGCTTTATCTCTCCATCACAATAAAGGGGCTAGTCTTTATCATTTAGACCATTGTGAATGTTTTTTACCTTCATGTAACACAAGTTATTATGGATCACATAAAAACAAATGACTGGTATCTGTACTCTTTAGTAGCACTGTCGCCTCACAGAACAACCTTGTGTGCTAAAAAATTACAGCAACATACAACTTGAGGTGCAACGTATTCTCTCCAGGATTACGGTCGCAGTTTTAGACAATGTGGACTTCTGGTTTCACACGCGACATGGACAGAGGTCTCCCGGGGGAATGATTAGAAATGTATTTGTGATACGTCATCATTGAGGGAGAAGATAAGTTTCCCTCGAAACACAATTGAAAATGCAGTTTCAATTGAATTGTCGAATGGGAACATTATTTTTTGGAGACAGATTTCAATTGTCTTTTTTTTTTTCCAACCAGCATGCGACTCCAACAGACTTATTAGCAGTAATAAACTCAAAACCACATATTAATATAAGTCAATGCAATCAAGCAATTACGATTAATAATATAGTCCGGCCAATTCAAACTTCACAATTGCACCGATACAAATTTTTAACAAAAAAAATGTGTGGGAAATGGTGCTTTTAAGTGCTGAGACAACTCTCTTGTCTCCTTTTTAATTACCATCGGCCAGAGACACAAACGCACAAACCAGTGGCCTTTGTGAATCAACCTCCCACAAGACTAAATATCGCCCCACGGCCCTTTTTTTCCCCACAGTTGAGTCAAGAAGCCACAATGCTGTCAAGCAGCTGAACACCCACTAAATGAATTCCAGATGCTTGGAGCTGAAGAACTGGGGCAACTACGGTGCAATATCTCAGACGTTCAACACATATCCTGTTGAAGAATCACAGAGCAAGTCTTTGGAAGCAGCAGCTGACATTTCCTTAATTATGAGCTCCTTGTTACCATGCGAATACATTTAGTCTGGATGATGACCGAATGTAGCACTATAACCCCATGGCCAATTGTTTGAAACTTTAAAAAAAAAACAACGTATATTTAATATAGTTTAGCAGGCCTGTTTTGATTTCTGAGGAAATACAAGTATACACAGTATACTTATAGTACATTATGTACAGGTAAAGTGGTCAAATGAAGAGCTGAAGAAACATGGAATTAAACCACGGTGGGTCTAAACACCGCTGTTCACAGCAGCTCAGTGTTGTTCATGAGCTCTGTGGGTTGAACACGATAGTGTGTCTGCCCTCAGGTCAGGATATGGTAAATATTTTACTGAGGCTGATGAATTTTTTATAAAGCGTCTACAACAATAAAAGTAAACTAGGATAAGCACACCCCTTAAAAGAGTGATCGTTTTATAAACATTACACTAGTTAATAAGTAATGTTACAGCTTCATGTTACCTTACATAAGAATATATTTGATCTCATTTTATATGACTTGGACAAATCTCATTGATCAAAACAAAGAACTGTGAATATGAATTATCATCTAGACCAGATATACAAAATAAAAAAAAAAATGTATGTACACCACCTACTGATATCGGCTCCTTTTACTTCCTTACATATAGTGTATATATTTAACGGACGGCCTTCGACAGCTTAACAGCACATGAATGCATCTAAAGAGAAGCGGGTACAGGAAACCTTGAACGCTGAAAACACACAAACTCAGTCATATGTATATAGTGAGCAGTGCAGTCACATAGGATGTGTGGCACTCACTCTAGGAAGCGGGTGATATACTGGCGACTGCAGCGTGACCACCTGGGCAGGGAGGTGCCGTACAGGAGCTGTGGAGACATGACGAAAGGTCGTTTCCCAATTGGTTCACAGTCATTACCGTTGCCATCATGCTGAATCCCAAAGCTGTGACATAGAAGCACATCCCACAGAGAGGGCAATTAAAGTGAGTGGGTACAACATGAAACACGTACTTCAATGTAAAGTTATGACAAGCAAATACATGCATCCGTCTATGGAGTGCAATTATTGTATATGATTATATTACAATATTTATATATTTTGCTGTGGGTGCAACAATAGCGAGCCACGCTGTTGGCGGTGCACAGCTCTGATAAAAGAAATCAAATGTGAACAAACTGTTGATGCTATTTTGAAGGGTAACTTTGGTATTTTGTGTCTAAGTGACTAATATAGATTTTTTTAAATTCGGTCCAGTAATGAGGGAGATCACTGCAGACAGCAGGCAGCAAACACGCTGCAATGTAGAGTAATTGTTTGGGGCAACTCCTCACCATCTTGTACGTCCACTAAAAGTGCTCGCTTTTACCGCTGACAGGTGAGGATTGTGTTTATAAATGTCTGGAATGAACCCTACAGTGAAATAAAGCATTTTTCTTAACTTTCTGCCATTTCCCCAGACCAATAAAAAAAAACCACTAATTTGTTCTCTGAAGCCCTTAGCAGCTAGTTAGCCTATATGCTACTGGATTGTGTATCGTACATTGGGTTTAATTATGAGAAAGAAACAAAACTATGAAAATATTTTTTTAAAAGAAACATTTTCAAGCTACGATTGTACTTATGAATGCTGGAAACAAACTCTGTCAGTGCCCTGTTGGAGCTTCAGTGAGTCTATTTTCTTCCTTACAGGAAGAACTGCTTGGTATTAACGATGGTCGATCCACTTAGTCTTCCATTTAACACCTTGAACATACACTAAGGACGAGCTGCCAATCATACAGAATATATGGTGGAGAATAAAGAAAGTCAGTCATTTTAAAAGGTATACTTCAGGCTCAGCTGGATCACAACAATCAAGATGAACAAATAGAGTGAAGCTGTCAACCGTATACTGTTCTCATTACGTGAAGTCGAGGAGAGTCAGTCTGAAGAGAATGGGTTTGTGATTGCAAACTGCATGAAGAATTGTTAAATGGATCGATGGAGTAGGCCTAAAGGAGACAATGTCTCTGTGCTCTGCTGCTGATGGTTTGTCTGTTTGACTCCTTATTACAACACCATCAATTAGCCACGGGTTCAGCATTGAGAACAGTTGAGGCGAACACTTATTTTTCCATTTATGTTTCCAAACAATGTGGTTACGTGTGACCAATCAAAATACAGAGAGCAAATTTAAAATTTAAGTTAAAGTAACATCTAGTCTCTTTCAAAAAAAGCTTTCAAAATCAAGGTGGTTTATAAATCTAAGGCAATAGTTTAGTTGCAGTATTGTCTAAAAGGGGAATCTGGAAGGCTGTTAATGTACAATCTACAAGCTTTGCCACAAGGAACGATGAGGGTGAACAGTTTCCTCAAAGATAATTCTTATTGTTTGTATTACAAATAATCCGACAGTACCAATTAATGTGACACAATCATTCCTGTATGCACCCACCCTTATAATCCCACTGTCTCAGATAAGGACAAGCTGCTGAGCTTTTCTTTCAGTTTTTTACCCCTTTTGATAGTCAAACAAGCAGTGACAGTCATATAGATAAAAATGGCATCTGCCTCTCTCCCATTCTCTCAAACTTCACCCACACAGACGTCATAAATATTAAGTCAAACGTTAAAAGTGTAGCACACTGTGCAGTTGTGCAAGGCAGGTGGACATTGCCGTGGTAGTAAGGTGTATGATTCTCCATGGATGTTAGAATGAATAAACAATAAATATATTGATAGTTGAATATTAAATATAAATTATAATTTAAACTATATTATTGAATTGAAACCGGAATGGAATTTTTTTCTCCTGATTATTTGACGATGTGAACCTAAAGCAAAACATAATGTGTCGATGTGTGTGTGTTTGTGTTTGTGTGGGCAGTGAAACCTTACTTGTGTCCCAGCTCGTGAGCTACAGTGAAGGCCAACGGGAGGCCGGTGTCCTCACTAATGCTGCAGCTGCGATGCGACTGACATATCCCCGCCACATGGGACAGACCCAGCGTCTCACACGGCATGTTGATGGCTGCACAGATGTCCTTCCTGTGAAAAGTGTGGTCAGATGTCGGTTGATTCAACATGAAAGGCAACACATCTATTTTCATTGTGAATTAGAAACTGGTCAGAGTAAGTTGAGTCGCACTGGGAGGGGTACATCAATATAATTTACAAGCTAAAAGAACATTTAAATGGAATAAACAACAAAATGCACCCTGGTTAAGGAACTTGTCTGAAACAGGTGATGCAACTATGGGTTTGTAGATATTGTTAAGCAATGAGAATTATATTGTATCTTTAAGGGAAAAAGAGATTCAAGAGGTAAAAAGACTAAACTATTTTTTTCAGTCATGTTTTTTTATAATCTAGCAAAGAAGAATTGCCCCTTCATACTGAAACAGATCGGTACGCTGCTTTAGAAGGAGGAAAATGGCATTTGTCAAGTGTCTGAGAGAAGTGCTTTTTTTTGTCCATGACAGCCCTTTGTGCTGGAAACTGCGTGATGTTTTTTTTAAATGGTTTGAAGGACACAAGTGCGTCGCTATGAACCGTATGAATGACTCATGTCTGAAATGGTTGTTTGTCACACTGGCAGCTTATTATTCAGTGAACGCATGAATGGTTCAAGAAGAAAACCCTGAATCAGTCAGGGGTGGACGATTCCACTCGTCTTGGACCGATTTTTCCTTTTTATTATACCTGTTGTTCATCCATTGAGGCATTTGGGATTTCATTATTATTTTTTTAACTGTGTGTTGACTACATCCTGACCTAACATCTTTTAGATATCAAATGAAAAAGACAAAAATGTATGATGCTTTGATTATTCACTTTTCAATTACGAATGGACTCCCTTTGGCGACGTGATTATGTGCGGCTGAGAGGAAGAGTATTCATTTACCTGGTGAGCAGAACTGCGACATCGTGGTGCAGCGGGTGTTCCTCTCCTTTCATGTTGAGTTTCTTCTGCCACTTACAGAAGCTGTTCAAGCTGTTGTCGGCATGGTGTGTAATCTTTAAGTCATCCTGTCACAGCCACATGTCACATTAAGTTAAAGGGAGGAGAGCGTAACGCAAACAAATACAGCTAGCAGCTAGTGTCCCATAAGTTTTTAGGTAATGGGATGTTTACAGTGCACAGCAAAGAGAAAAATACAGGCTCTATTTGACAGCAAACGCTGTTAAATAAGTACTCTAGGTGCAGCTACATTTCACCATCTAAGCTTGCAGCATTCATTGCAGCCTTTTAATTGGCCCTAATAACAGTCATTCATACAAAAGTCAGGAAATGGTACAGCATGTACTGTGCTGCATGTATTTTCAACTTGTAAACATGATTATCAAGATAACTAAAGACGCATAAAAACATTTCTTATTTTTAGCCTGATACCTGACAGTATTATCAATCGTATAACTTGTTACAGTTGTATTCGCTTTAGTTCTGTTTATTTGCTCCATTCACATCTGTAACTTATTGTCAGCTGCTGCCAAGGACAGTACAGGAAAGATTTATGTTCCATCTGGTAAGTGTTGACTGCTGCCAACAATGCAAAAGCAGTAACATATTTTGAACTAGAATAACCTTAGTATACTTTATTATGAATGTGATTTTGCAAACAGAAAGCCCTGTGTATACAGGTTACATTCATAATATAAACATAGAAAATAGTTGATTGAATTGTGACTTAAGTGACAGCCCTGCTATGTATGTCCCTTACGTTATTAGTGCACACATACACAGTCTGCTCAGTATGCCTTTAAGGTATAAAACCTATTCCCTGTTTTGTTTTTTTTTTCCTTAAAATGAACCACATTTTATTATCATAAACAAATTAGTTTTAACCTCCTCCTGTTCCAGTAGGATGAGTCGAACAACCACAATGTTGATTGCGTTTCCAATACTGGCATCCAGGAACAGACCCGCCACCTGAAAAAGACAAAAACTGCATTTAACATTTGGACCTCACTACCAAGGCATTGGGTATATAAAATAATCCTAATGAGACACTTTATGCACTATTTAGGCAGTTGATATTTAATTATTATATACTGTATTATTATTGATGGATAATTAGCTTCATACAATTAGCTTTTTTATAAACCACGGCTAGTCTTGTGTGGTAGAAACTTTGGGATATAAATCTACAAAAACTAACAATCAAATGAAAAGAGACATTCCTTTTATAACTCCCAACAATCTGATCTTCAAATTGTGTTTTTATTTATTTATTTATTTTTTTTTTAAAAGGAAGAATATATTTTATTATAGATCATGTCAAAACGTTGGGAGTAATATGATTTATAATATAATTTTTTTGAATATAATTTTGTCAAGGAGGCCAATGTTTACAACCTAACACAACATTTATAAACGTTTTTCAAAAATACAACAAATGAAACATTTTCAGGAACATCTTGTCCTGTGTATATTTTGCTTCCTTTGATTTGTTGATTCCTTTTAAGCATCAATTTACAAGTTGATCCGAGTCATTCAGAGGAATCCTTTTAGTCGGTGATGTAAACCTTAAACAACCTCACAGGTTTGACATCAAAGCTTTTAGAGCTTCGCTGTATTTATTCCACTTGTTCTTGCCAATTATTGAGCATTAAAAAAATGCCTACACCAATTAAAGGGCTGGAAAAACTATAATTATAGCTTGTATTAAACATTTACATTTTTGTGTTAGTACACTAATGTCAACACATCTTACGCAAATAACCTTTCAGTCAGTTTACTTCGAGTCGCTGCAGTTTCTCTGTGCTCAACAAACGGGAACAATGTAGAAACTGGCCCCATAAACCCTGAAATATTTACTTATTTTAAAATAAGATGGTTTTAACACTGGGAAAATTGTGAAAAACAAACAAACAATTGCATCTAAAATAGCCCATTGTTTTGACAGTGACTCATGGTCTTGAGCCGAGGTGGCACGTGACAATTTAGAGCTCCGCTTTATTAAGGGCACGAGGCAGCGAGGGGTTTATTACTGGAGAACAGGGTCACGCTATGGAGAAATTAGAGGTGAGAACCGTGAAACAAAAGGTGAAGGGAACTGATGAGATTCAAGACTGTGAGCATCATTAACACCAAACCTTAAAGGTCTCATTATATACTGATTATAGCCTGAATCACACCAGCTGTTGCAGATAAAAGCACCATTTCGCTTTGATTCCCAGGGCACAGAGGTAGTCTGTTGGATTTATTTTCTTATAGTCAACTATAACAGCATTTGTTCACAACACATTGTTGTATGAAGACAGACAGCAATGAGCCTCTGATTGGTTTAACATAGTCAAGTCACAGAAAACTGCACAGATGCGCAGCTGCAAATGTAAAGATGCTAGAAAGAGGACGACTCTGGAGGCGTCAGTATGCTTCAAACAAAATGCTTGTCAAATTGTTAGAAAGCATCCGAAACTCAAACTTTTACAAGTATTTAAGTTTGTTAAACCCCGACACACATTTAGGATTTTCGGGCCAGCCTTCGAGCAAGGCAGACACTTTGGCCTTCAAACCGTGTTCAAACATCTCTTGCTAGTTCTTTTCAAGCACACCTTGATCCATGCTACAGAAACAGTAATATTTACAAATGGAAACTGCAACTGTGATCATCTGCAATCATCACAATAATAACAAATAATTGACCCACAATGTCAGCTAAATTGTGGTGCCTAGGATATGCTGTTTTGCAATACTGGTCGTTAAAAGAATACTTTAAAAAGGTGCATCCTGGTATATGGATCATCCCGGGACAAATACTGTAAATACTATAATCACATCATCTCATCTTTTATCCACACACAAATACAGGCACGCTTGTCCATAACAATGCAATATTTCCTTTTAATAGCCTAATTCTATACAATAATTCATGCACAGGCAGGCGTTCATTTTTGAAAGTCATTCATTCACTAAGCATGCTTCATAATGCATACGGCTCCAGCCTTCTAACTAGATTTCAACACAACAAATGCCTTGTTCAATGAGAGAACAACAAGTATTTCACTGTTCCGCTGACATGATGCTAAAGTTTGAGAAACTCAAATATTCAATTTAGAAACTGCAACAGATTGTTGCCAAGGAGTAAAAGAGAGCACCTTATTCTGCAATAAAAAGTGCATTTGTAAATAACCACTTGAGTCCGATCAGTTCCGTTACTACACAGAGTAACACTGGTGTTTTTGTTTTCATTGTTCTTGTTGTCGGATAAAAATTTCTTCTGTACAAGTTGTGTAACTGAGCACTTCAGACAGAACAGCTGCGACACATAAAGGACTTAATTCATCTAAATGTTTTGTCTCTCATAGTGGCACTCATTCACTTAAACTAGTGCCGCACATCTTATAGCTGAATCAACTTTGCAACACATTTTTACAGCAACAATCAATTTTTTTTTAAATCTTTGTCCATGTTTCTCTATTGTTTCTCTCGTGAATAAAAATAGAGCTACAGCTATTTAAAGCAACAATGTGCTGTTGATGAGACACGTTTCCTCTCAACTCACATGCTGCACATTTGCACCGGGTCTTGAAGGGTAAACAGTGCTTTAATGGATTTCGACTGCATCTTTCTTTATGTCCATGTGACGTTTGTTTGGTGACATATGGCTGTAATAAATGTCACAAAGAGAATACCACTAATAACCGTGTGAAAGGAAGTTGGGAGCTATTTTTGTAAAAGGGCATTTTTTCTCTGCTGAGATTGATTATCCTGGCTGCTACATTGGGTGCACACAGCACAGCAGAATACAAAAGTATGAACCTCTTGAGAAGTTGACAACTTCAAGACGGCGTCAGTGGCGAGACAATGGAGCAGTCGGTGGCTGAGGAAGATGATGCCATTAGTTATGGTTTGGAGGTTGTTTCCCTCGATCCGGTGCGAGATTGTTTTCACAAAACGGAATCATTCCGCGCTTTAAAGTTCAAAGCTGGAGTCTAGAAGACCCCCCCCCCCCCAAAAAAAACAAAACAGAGGATGTGAGGAATAATGTCCGTTCCTCTGTGTATTATTGTCTGTAAAGCCTGTTAATCCGCAGGCTTCTCTGTCAGTGAATTACCTTTCCTGATGTTCTGTCCTCTGATGGCACTTTCAGTAGCTGCGGTGAGACCAGACATGACTTTTTTTTTTTGGAAAAACCCTCTTCTGTGCTGATCAATAACAGACAATGAGTCAGTTTGCTTAACCCCTAACTAGGTGGCAGTAATAACATTAATTGTGGCTAAATGAGAGGAGTTTAATCCATCCGTTGTGTTACCCGATACAAGGATGGGAAAGCTGAAACAGCATCTGGTCATTCAAAACATCTGGAAGACGGTCAAACATCCTGTAACTCTGCATTCAAAATATCTGGCAAGATTTATCTTTATAAAACCTTTCTGGAATGTTAACGGTGTAATTCAGCTACTCATAATAATATCGACTAATAACGACCAACTTTAGCCTGAATGAGATTTAACAGGTTATTCCAAGTAACCATATTCCTGTACAGGAAGATTTTTAATCCTGCTACAAAACTAAAATGTGGTTTACAACTTCACATTCATTACTATTTCCTATGATATGGCCTCATTATCCGACATAAAAAGCGTTTGTTTGTAGCATTTAGAAAACCTGAAACCTGAAGAAGAAGTTACTAGAAGACACTGATAAACTAATTAAAAAGTCTTAGACAGTGATCACGCATTCAGGCACGTGCATCATCGTTTCCAGTAGGGCTGCCCCCTCCTAGTCCATCGGTCATTTTCTCTTAGTCAACATGGATTTCTTTCCTCAGTTAGTCGTTTTTTATGCTTTGTTCAATAATTTTTTTTTAAGAAACTTATGAACACATCTCTGGTAAACACAAGATTTGACAGATATGTCGATTAAATCAACTGATCAATTAGTTGACAAAAATCGTACGAGTGTTCGTCAACTTCTTTGGTCAAGAACAGATTTGAAATTGTTAATGAAACTATAATTCGTACAATGTGGATTTTGATGCATGGAAACGTTATTGTTATTCTCACATACTTACAATGTTCATGACAGCCAGGACGTAACTTTCCACAGCTTTGCTCCCATGATGCTCCACCATTTTAGGGTCGGCCACCACCAGCGTTTCCACCCACTTCTCTTTGCTGACTGAGCGTTGACGAATTCTCCTCCTCCTTCCCTGCTGCCGGTGCTCCCACCGCTCCCGCTGCCTCTCAATGTACTCAAAACTTTGATCTGGAGATTGGAGACAGAAATGGACATTTAAAAACTTTCTTACTGAGGCACATTGTGTGCCAACATAGGAAACAAACTGACTCTTAACGTGAAAAAAAACTGTTTGTCTTGGAACCCAAAACCTGCCAATAGCCTCTCTGCCTTTAGCATTATTCTTCCTCTTTTTATTAAAATGTTAAGTTAATACAGCAGGTGTGAGAATTAATCAATTTAACTTAGAATGGTGTTCTTCCCTGTTTTTGAAGGAGGAACACAAGCAGAACCAACATCCTTTGACAATTTAGCCAACATCAGTCTCATGGAATAAATGACGGGATAATCTGCCTAAAAAGCGACACACTAATAACTGTCTGTAGCTTTAAGATATGTCTCGTTGATTTCAA